TGTACTATGCTCTTGAAATTTTCCAGAAAACAAAACAACGGGCACCTTGTGAACTTTTTGTCACATTATTTGACCACCCCTATTTTATATATAATACACTAATACAATGTACTATAATAGTATAGGGGTTATCACTTGAAAAAGACAAAATGTATATATATATATTTTTTTTTTTGACGAAAAATACTCGTTTAATGTGTAATGATTGTATAGTTAATGTAATGATTATTCAATTACCTTAGATTTGAAAAGTTTTTGTTAATCCTTTGATTATTCAATTACCTTAGATTTGAAAAGTTTTTGTTAATCCTAATCCCTAATGTAGATTTTCCGTAAGATCCGTGGAATTCCATAACAAATTCCGTGGAATTCCATGGAAAAAGTGTTCCATGGAATTCCGAGGAATTCTCAAGAGTATTGGGACGGAACTTTTTTGGAATGGTATGGAATTTCAAATCTAGCCTGGAAAAGAGCGGAACAATGCCAGAATAGAAATTTGCGGAAATAGCTGGAAATCCATGGAATTCCAGGATATTTGGAAATCTATGGAATTCCAAGGAAATCCAAGGAATTCCAGGAAAATACAAAAAACTGGAATAATCAAAATAATTTAAGGGCCAAATAATTACAAAAAAATGACTACATCACAATTTTTCATAAATCAAATCTATATTTTCAAAATAAAAAATCATTTTTGCTTTACAATGTGTTTGGGGACAAATATTGCATACACACTTCTATGTATAATGAAAGCACAAATTTTAAAAAGTATTATCACTGAAAGTATTTTACATCAAAGGTTATTTAAACAATGTTAAAAATCCACAGAAAAATATCATTACTGGATGATCACCTTGGTTTAATTAATGAGAATTATTATAATATACATGCATGTACATGTAGTAAATTACAGTCTGCATGAGAAATAAATGACTTTTGATTAAAGAAAATCCTTGTACCTAGAGTAATCTCAAACATATGACATTTTTTGATAATAAAACAAAATAGATTAAAAAAAAAACCCGTTAATTATGACCTTTTGCTTCATTGAATGACCTTGGGAAAGGCCACTAAAGCCTTAACAGGGTATATTTGCAACATTTGTATACAGTTACAATGATCTTCCAGTGGTCCATATACATTTACCATACAAAGTTAATGACTAGAGTGACAAACATAGGTATTAAGTACACAACTATCTACTACACAACTATATTTGGAAGATCCCATAAAATCAACACATGCTATTTTTTTCCCCAACATGCCCCAAGATCCTAATTATTGAAGGTCCTAAACTTCTGAAGTATTGGCTAGAATCACTTCCTCACTGGTTCTGCTAGAGGGTGGTCAGATAATTGGTGTCACGAATGGATTCACTTTTGGTACGACGGCTTCAAAAGCTCAGCAAGTTTGATGTTGATCATTCCCAAAGACACTTCAAACTTTCTTGCTCAATTTCTGAAAGAAAAGATTACCATAAAGATGTATGATATTTATCTCATATATGAATATATGACAAATAATAAACTAAAGCTATATAAGACAACCAGGCAGATCAGTTTAATACTCTAGAATAGGAATTTATTATCTTGTATTTTTTTATTCAGATTAGGATTGATTTCTTTTTAAACTAATGGAAGTTGTGAAATTTAAAAAAAAATAAAGAGACATGATTGTGTCTAAGTTAATTAACCTTGAATATGAGAGAGAACATTGTAAATTACATAAACTATGTACCTTTAAAAACATTCAGCAAATAAAGTTAAGGTATGAAAAAATGTACATTAGTAAATATAATTTATATACCATATAAAACATGCATTCAGTTTTGCCTTGTCAATGGCTCATCTTTTGTCTCTTAAGCTTCTGATTAAAAGCACCTTGAACAGGAGTTTGGACGCCTATGCTGCCTTTGATATATTATCCTCCATATCTGCTTACTCTGTTAACTGACCCTTGAAAAGAGGAAAAGACGAATTTATAGGCATATGTAATTGCTTTAAATGCACATTGGTTAATTTACAATGTAACAAAAATATAGACAAAGCAAATAACATAAAGTGATTATATAGAATACATTTGTTCTAGGCTTCAAACATGCAAATACATGTACATATATTTTATTTTTGAAAAATTAAGAAAATATTAGATAAACTGTTATAAATACATGTAACTTCCATGCATCATCAATTCAGTATTAAGATAATATATTAGCACATGTATACATGTACTTCTTTATTTCTGGAAATTTATATCTGCGACTAAGGTTATACTAATAGGTTTGTGTAAGAATATGATGAATGACATTGGCAAGGCATAGGTAAAAACTTGTGAACAGGACAGAGAACTGACATAGGAAACAAGTTAAAAGCAACAACTTCTTAAAATAACTAAAATATATTTGAAAGTCAATGAAAGAGTGGAGTCTAACATTCATAATAATTTTTCTCAATGCCCGGCTAACACTGATAAACACATAATTTCAATTCTTTTGATTTTATTGATTAGGAAAATGATTAAAAAATCTTTAAGTTACCTTTGTGTAAATTTCCATACAGCTCTGAGCTCTTGACCTTTTTGTGAGCATTCCTGTAAATAATGCATGCATGATTTTATGTCATAGAGTATAGTCATTTTTAATATTTATACTTAAATAAAATGTAAAATGATTATGCATGTACTCCGTGTAGGCATTTAGCATGTTTAGATTACCTGTCAAAAGTTATAATTGTTATGCATTATTGAGGAATTAAGAATATAAACCTCTTGTTACTTGCTCGATAAAAAAAAAATCTTATGCTATAAAACATTAATTAATAAAAACAATGTTAGTTTATTTGTGCTGAATGATAATTTGAGCAGGCTCTCACCATTCTCACAAGCTAGGTGACTGAATGACTTAGCATCTACATCTACATATTAGGACATTTCATCAAACTTGATGATTATAAAATTGCCGGCGCTGTGCGAATCGAGTACTTCAGCTATAAAATAATAAAAGTAAGTGCTGTGAATGATCATGAACATGCATTAAAAAATAGATATAATTATTTACATTGTACTCTGTAAATTTTAGTAGTACCTGTACTAAGGAATGTTATTAGCTAATAATTTGGACCAGAGTTCTGAACTGGCCCCAAAGATCAGGCTGCCGACACCACTGAGCATGGAAGAGAATTCCATAATGGGGGGGGGGGGGGGGGAGCTTAATATTTAAATTGTCTGTTTGTCTGTGCAAGTACTGAAGGTCTGAAAGTAAGGAAGACTTGAAATGCCTTTGTTGGTGGTAGTCTGTGAAACTAAATAGAGGCTTGGGTCTACCGCAACTAAGTTGTGCACAACTTTGTATCATATAGACAGCTGATAGAGCATTAATAGTCTACCACTGTCTACACGTTTTTTCTGCGTTGTAAACATGGTAAAGATAGCCAATTTAGATGTTGCAACATGTTGGAGACACTAATAGTGTTATGATGTCTGTGTACGATGTAACATGGACTGTCGTGGCGCAGTTGGCAACGTGCCACTAGCATATATAGCGAGGTCTAAGGACATGTACGAACTGAGGAAATTCGGGTTGAAATCCACACATTGTTCAATCATATTTTGATAAGAGATGTTTAGAGTTGTACAATAATAATTACAGAAATGAAACTGCGCTCGCCCTAATGCGCAGGTTTTATCGTCGGGCATTCTATGTGTGTGGTGCCCACAGGGGCTTGCTCCCGGCGTGTAATAATTATTTATTTTAAAAAAAATCATATACGTTAATACTTAGTATTAACGTATATGATTTTTTTCAAATAAATAATTATTACATGCCGGGAGCAAGCCCCTGTGGTGGTGCCCAGACTGGGGAACAGTCAATTATCCATTCAACTTCAAGGACACATAAAATACTGTACATTGTACCTACCGGGTCTTAAAATGTCTGCATCTTTTGTCAAAATACAAATTCCATTTCAAGCTAATAATGACAGCAGTTCCCTTCTTCGTGACACTTTCCTTCTGTCCAACAATAAAACATGGCAGCCGAATTGTTGAATTTTGGCGGGCTGTGGTTTAAATTAATTGTTCATCGAGCCCGACATCGATCCCGACGTAATTGTACTATGAGCCGACAGTTTAAGAAAAAATTCTAAGTTATTTTCCACAGCTTTCCAGAGCAGAAAATGTCTAAGTTTCTCATTTTATCAGCTTTTCCATAGAATTCCACAACTTTCCAAACCTCAAAATATCTAAGTCCAAATTTGTTATTCAAATTCCAAAAGATTCCAAAAACTTCCATAAACACTTTTAGACTCTTGTATGGAAATGTTTGGAATTCCATGGAATTCCAAAACTTTTCCAAACCCCTTGGAAAATCTACATTAGGGTTTTTTACACAATCATCCTACTTTTAATTATAATTTACAATCCTTTTACACAACAATTTCATGTAAAGCATACATTTATCTTGTGTCAAACTTCAAAGTTTTGTAGCTTTTAAAAATAATATTTTGCTGGATGATTTACCAATTTTTACAACTGTATACATGTCCATTGATGCATTAAGGGCAGTAAACTTATTAATTTTAATCTCACCTGAGCTGAAAGTGAGCTTTTCTGAACACTTTTTGTCCTGTGTATGTCCCTCAAAAATTGACAAAATTTCTACTTTTTCTCCAGAACCACTTTGGACCATTTTAACCTCAGCTGGCACAAAGTATTATTGGGTGAAGGTGATTCAGATTTGTTAAGATTAAGGGTCAACTTATAACTTATATCAAGTTATAACTTGTGTGGAAGCACCCTCAGATAGTTTAGTTGTTCAAATCATGATCCTGAGGAATAGGGTGGGATCACAATGGGAGTGACAAGCTTTAATAGTTTAGATGCTAAATAATAACTCTTTCATTGAACAAACTCAGATCTAAGCATTTGATGTCTTAAAGTTTTTGATGATTAAGCTTAGATTATACATGTTTTGTGAAACTTTTCCTTTATTTCCTCTAGTTTAATATCTGCAGAAAGCACACCTGTCAGAGAGAACATTGGACATGGCAAATCCAGTAAGTACATGTACCTTTAAAGCTGTTGACCTGTGAAAAATTTTGTTATCTTTCGATCCTCACAAATCAAAATAAAAATTTCCTAGCATTTTTTTTTCCAAATGTTCGAATTTTCTTCCCCCAAGTAAGTACTGTAGATTCCTTATTTTACGCGAGTACTTATTATCGCGAAATGACCCAAGGGCGTCAAATTGCGAGAATAATAATTCGCGAATGGGTGATTTATCTAGAGATTTTACATACATTAAAGCACCATAAAAATAAAAGCGAGTAATTTTATTTCGCGAGCGGTGCTTCTCGCGTAATTACGCGATAATTTATACCTTGTGTATATTTAGGAATCTACAGTATATTTTAGCTCACATAAGCCGTAGGCTCCAGTAAGCTTTTCTGATGAAAACTAAAACTTGTCTGTTGTTGATGTAGTCTTTGTATACTTTTCACATTTTCATCTTCTTCTTAAGATCCACTTGGCCAATTTCAACCAAACTTGGCACAAAACTTGTCTGTTGTCGATGTAGTCTTTGTATACTTCTCACATTTTCATCTTCTTCTCAAGAACCAATTGGCCAATTTCAACCAAACTCGGCACAAAGCATCCTAAGACCTTGGGCTAAGGGTACTCAAGTTTTTTTTTTTTCAAAGGAAGGGTCCTGCTTTATGTCAAAGGGAGATAATTAAGAACTAATGAAAAATTATTGACAATTTAAAAAATCCTGTTTTAAAAAAAAAATTGGCCAAGAAAGAAATGAAACCTATGTACATGTAGAAGCATCCTTATGTAATGTAGTTTTCTAGTTTTTTCAAACTTGGAAAAATATGTGGGGCCAAAAGGGGGGGGGGGGAGTTGTCAATTTAAAGTTGAAATTTGGTTGTGTCAAAATCATACTTACCAGTTATGATTTATGTCTGGTGTTATCAATATTTGATATAGTGACTGAATTCGAAGCATGATATTTAACTCACCTGAACTTAAGGTTAATCTGTAAATTTTCACATTTTTTTACTTATTCTAAAGAACCACTAGGCCTTATTTAGCCTAATTTAAACAAACTTGGTACAAAGCATCCTTATAACTCTCTTTAAAAGGGAAATAATCAATAAACAGTCAAAATAGGGTGTGTGTTCTAAAAAAAATCTTCTTCTTAAGAACCACTGCACCAGAAATGCCAATATCTATTTCAAAGCTTGTGTGTGTTCTTCTTCTCAAGAACTATAGTGCTACAATTTGTGATATTACTATGTAAGCATCCTCTGATGGTGTAGATTCTAAATTATCCAAACCATGACCCCCTGACCAATACGGGGGCCCCATGAGGGCCCCAAAATATATAGTGAAATCATGAAAATGTATAAAAAAATTTCTCAAGAACTATATGTGATGTTACATTGACTTCAGATAGCATGTACCGTAATCCGCCGAATATAATACACACTTTTTTTCCAGGATTTTTTACCGCGAGAAAGGGGTGCGTATTATACACCCCAATAGGATTTTGACACATTTTTCCATAGGTGAAGTAGGGGATATTATACTGCCGTATTACCTAAACTTTTTATCAAAATGGCCTTTAATTTCTTTATCTCCATGTACGCTGCCATTACATGTACAGCTGTTATTAATAGAGTGTTTAGGTTTGCAATCGATCTTGGAAAACAGCTTACACATCATTTGGGTCATTTTAAAGCAATTTCATGTAATGATAATTGATTTATTGCAAATAATTATGAATGTAAATGATCCTAAAGCCCATTCCGTTCATTGAAGCCACTGTTGTGCACCCCAGTGCTAACCCTTGTCACCTTCGTTATCTCAGATACCTAAGGCTATAAGTGTACTATAAACAACACAAAACAATTAACGCTTATTAAAGTAATTAATCTTATTTACGGTAGAATATTTAATACTAGTTTATATAAAACATTGATTATGAAATAAAGATATTACCGTAATGTATTAGTTAAAATAACTCCCTGTCTAAGAAATTATCGCGATTTGCCTGTTTGCGATAGTGTATTTCCGCGATGAAATTGAGCGTGTATAACTGCTTTGTTAATACTCAGGATTATCGTTCGGTCAATTTTTTGCATGCGTATTATACACCCGAACTAGTTTTTTTAAACAACTTTCAGGCCCAAAGTGGGGGGGAGTGCGTATTATACACTACTGCGTATTATATTAGGCAGATTACGGTATTCTAAATTGTTAATTGTTGTCACAGGTGAACATCAAGGCCTATTGGCCTTTTGTATGTAAATTTATGCAACTTCTCTTTAATTGCTGCACAGAGTATGTGTAGCATTGTCAAGTAATGGGGCAACATAGGGTATGTGAGCTTGCTTACTTTTTTATGCCCCATGAAATGTTATTAAATTATTAATTATTTGATAAATGGAGGAAACCCTTACATATCAAACAACCAATCTTTGAGTTACTCAATTGAATTTTATTTTCTATGCTGGCGTTTAAAAATTTACCGGACACAATGTCCGACGGATTTATAACTTTTACGGGACAAACATAAAAACTACCAGAGATCACCGGCAATCCAGCACATTTCCCCAACTCTGCACTTTCATTAAATGTTTTCTGTTGATGCATTTTAGTTTTCACAACAATTTCAATTTGGTACATTACCATCAAAGCTATATCACATTAGACTATCTTACTCTAAAAATTTCCCATGTTGAATCTACGTAACAAAAGATTAAATGTGATACAAAATCATTGTTTTCCCAAAAAAAATTTTGATGCATGGAGGGAAGTTTGTCTGAGTTGGAGCACAGTGCCGTGTAACAGTCGTCAGGGTGTAATCACTGCACATTAAGGGGGAACAGGGCGTTTCAGTGTAAAATTATTTGTTAATGAATATTTTTGTTTTTTTAAACACATTAACATTAAGATGTCCTCTACAACATATATTATTTTCATGACTACTTTCTTACCTTGCAAGGGAGATATTTTGATGGGAATTGTTCCCCTTTTCTGGCTTTATGAATTCTTTTGACAATTTCTATTTTCTGAAATAGCTATTTTATTTGATGGAATTTCTTTTCAAATTATATTCAGTAATTTTAAGAACGGAAACAAATTTCAAAATTATTTACAACATTGGCTTTTTACATAGCAATATCATAGTTTTATCAAAATTTTGCTAAATTCAGCATTTCAAATTTTGGAGTTTTTTATTCTAAATTTTGACAAAATGTGATGGCACATAAAAAATTCTCAATGAATTTTTTTTAAAAAAATTCATATATCAACCTTAGCTTGAGCTTTATAACTTGTAAAAATTTCATGGCAACTTTCTTGTCATTCAAGGGAGATACTACAATAGGAATCACCCCTGCCCCTTATTCTGGAATTATGACTTTTTGTGACAATTTGTGATTTGAATCATCAAAAAACTAACACACTCTTTAATATTTTTAATTCACATGATCAGAATTTAATATATTCAGAATATATATTTGATTATATTAACCGCTTATGATTTTGTACATTTACATTTCTAAAATTCAAAATGTTAAATTTTCCCAAATTCATGTTATGACAGTGACTTTTTTAGAGCTGTAAAGTATGGGAAAAATATCTTTCAAATCATGTTTGACATCATAATGGTTAAATGACATCATAGCATCACACAATCAAATCAATTATGACGTCATAATAGAGTTAGCACATCAAAGCATCATTGCAATGATAGTCACGTGATCAGTACCCTGTTCCCCCTTAAATTACTATAACTGATTAATAAAATGTACAACATATGATTTACATATACTATGTACATAAACAAGTAATATTTCATTCTAGGCCTATTTGCATTTTCATATTCATTCATAACATTTCTTTGCTTTTTTCCTAGCAAAACAGCTTTTTTCTCAAAATCACATTTTTCAAGTAGCTAACCTTAACTGAAAATATACATTTACAAGGCAGTTCAACACCTTCTGTCCCATTCTATTTCCAATAATATATGTTGGAGGTTTTATTTTTTTGACTTTTTGAATAAAAAAAAACAAGGCAGAAAAAAAAAAAATAAGTCCAATTACAGCAAACTTGACTCAACTTGGTATTTTTTGTTTGAAATATGGGGTTTATATAACTTTTGGAGTTTGATGTTAAAGTTAACGACACTCTCTGCAGGTGCAAGGGTGTTTTTATGAAGTTTGAATGAAGAAACAACAACTTTATTATATCTACCATATACTGATTACTGTTAAGAAATAAATTGAGATAGAATTTTTGCTTTCAAATAAGTATGCAAAGGGGGAAGCATGGCGGCACTGCGTAATGCATGGAGGGGGGTCTTCAATGCATGGCGGTACTGCTATGCAAAAACGGCCCAGGGAAAACACTGAAAATGTTTTGATATCAAAGATAAGGTATCAATTATTAGTATATATATCTGTTACATATGTTATCTCATTTTTTTTTTCAGATTAAAGAATTTGAACCCAATGTCCTAAGACATGTACATGATGATGAAGAGGGCAATAACTTTGCCAGTGAAATTGTGTGCCACTTTATGGAAGGAAGATACTTTATAAAGACCAAGTTTCATGAAGAGTTTCTTGAAAAATTAAAGGATAAAAGAGCAACAAAAAGTACCTGGATCTATTTAAATGGACTTGAGGGTTTGGGGAAATCATCATCTGCTATTTACTATGTTTTGAAATGTCGGGAAAATGGTGATGTGTCAGTTCATTATGTTGACCTGGATAGAATTGAAACAAGAGATGAAGATTTGGAATCCTTCATAGCTTATTCTAAGAAATTTGGAAATAGGGACTGCATTATAGTGGATCATCTAACCCTGTGTAATGCTCATTATTTAGAAAAGGTTCAAAAAATTGTGAAGCGGCAAGTTTCATATCCAAAGTTCATTCTCATTGAAACAGGTTTCACTGCAAGTGCACATAAGTGTATGGAATTAGGGAGAGAATTTCAGCTTGATGAAGACTCTTTTCTCAACATTTGGAAAGGATCTTTAGAATACCTATTATCGCAAAAAGACAAGGAGGATAGGAATTATGAGCATAGATTAGGCCTTTTAGATAAAGGAAAGGAGGTTTATGATGAATTTTCAAAGGAGTACATAATGACACCTAGACTATTGAACAGTGTGTTGGAGGATATGTATACCAGAACAGATGGAACAGTTGAAGAGGCATTTGCACAGTATACGAAAGAGAAACAACATAAAATCCTTAATTGTAAAAGTTCAGAAAACGTTGAATATGCCAAGTTTCAGCTCCACACTGCTGTTCTTCTCCATTGTATTCCAAACAGACAAGAAATCATCATTAAAAGAGAATGGGCACAGAAAATAAACATAGGAATCAATATTTTTGAAGTTGAGCCTTACAGAATTCAATCACAAGATCTACAAAATAATCTTGAGTATGCAAGGATGGGTTTGGATGTTGGGGATGTCTGTGTGAAAATTCGGCATTTGATTCCTAACTTAGCAAACTGTTGGCGAGAAAGGTTTCCTTATGATTTAGAAGGGATGCTACAAATTGCCAAAAATGTTGGTTCTGATGAAATTTTGCCAATTATGTATCAAAATGGTGGAGCAAGAAAAGAGTTTGAAAAATTGTTAGTTGAGACTCAGAAAGAGATCCAATCTGTTCTTTTGCCATTCTCCATTGGTGGTGATACATTGTATCAGGCATCACAATCAAAGCAAGAAGTGTTACAAACACCATGTACAGTAGTGCCATCTGTCGAAAATTTCTTTGAACGAGATGGAAAAGAGTTATCTTTGTATAATCAAGATATACCAGAAAATTTCAAAGGTCATGAACAAAATGTGGCTTTATTTTCCCTGTTTATAAAACAACTTTCAAAGTCAGTTGATAGGTTTTTGGTGTATCCACTGATAACAAATTTCATGGGAGTAGACTACTTTGTTTTTTACAATGTTTGTGTTGATAATAATGAAGGTTGTACATCACGTAAAAGGGTCAAAGTTCAAGAAAAAACATTGTACCTTGTTCAAGTGGCAACAGGTGCTATGCATCGAGGTGATACAATTGGTCAAGCTTTGAATGTGGTGAAACAAATTTTTGCAAATGAAGATGTTATAGTTCATGCTGTTGTTATTGTTGCAAGTCAGAATAAAAGGTCCTTCACATTGACCAGGTGTGCATTTGAAAACATTTCTGTGATTAACTTAAATGGAACAGAAAAGCCATTACTACAAAATAACTGCCTCCTGTATCAATTTTACTTAGAACTTTTGAAGTCATCCTAAGCTTTGATACATGTACTGGTTCATACTGAAAATGGCTTGCCATGATTTATTATTTCAAAGATAGAAAATGATGTTCTAAGACCATTATGCTCAGTTGATGTACAATACCTGTGAGTCTCTTTTTCTTTACATGAAAACTATACGGAAAGATATATCACTTCCATAATTGATATATCAGTATTTATTTTATAAGGGATTGATATGTATTTATACATTAGAAAGTTAATTACTGTTAGTTATAAGTCTAATCTATTGGTTATTATATGTCTGCCTGTACATATTAATCATCTATCACAGTTTTGTTAGCAACTACTAATTACACATGCTTAAAATTTTAACCAACTCTTTGTTAAGGCATGTCTTATAGTGGTATTTATATTTGAAAAAAAAAGCTGATGTTAACTTCCTGTTGAATGAATTTATTTTTGTCCATAACAAATTTTCATCAGTGGCAACTTTTACAGTGTCCAAAACACAATACTATACTCTAATGTATTTATATTTTTATTTTTGGATCTGTTTTTAGCTCACTTTTCTAAGCAAAATTTGGCTGTTGTCTGTTGTTGTTCTCGTTATCATGAATTTTTACAACTTTGGAACCAATTTCAGCCAAACTTGGTACAATTTAAAGCATCCCTTGGCCAATGGGATTCAATTTTTTTTTTCAAATGAAGAACCACATTTTTAAAAAAAAAAATCCTCTTCTCAAATGCTATTTGGCCAGTAGAATTGAAACTTATGTCGATGCTTCCTCAGGTAGTGTAGATACAAGTTTGTTCAAATCTTGATCCTGAGGTAGGTTTGGACCACAATAAGGGGTCTTTTTTTTTTTTGACCCTCTGGGGTAGGATGGGTCAATTTTTCTTTAGAAATTTTCCCTCAGATTTCTAAAATTTTCTCAAAAACCGTTTTGCTAGATAAGGTTTAACTTATATAGAAGCATCCTCAGGTAATGAAGTATCAAGTTTGTCCAAATTGTTATCCCTGGAGGTTGGTGGGGCCACAATGTCACAATTTTAAGTAGAAATCTTTCAAACTCTTCATCTTTATTGGGGACTTTATGTTAAGAAATGTGCCAAATTTTTAAAAAAAAAAAAAGAACCTACTTAATTGTACAGATTTTTTGTATTAAAGCTGTTTGGATCAAAGTTGTGTCAGATTGCTCAGGTGAGTGACATGGCCCCTCGTTGTCATTGTTGGCGTTGTCGTTGTAAACTTCTCACATTTTCATCTTCTTCTGAAGTACCATTGTGCCAATTTCAACCAAACATGCCACAAAGTATCCTTGGGTAAAGGGAATTCAAGTTTATTCAAATAAAGGGTCAAGCCTTCTTCCAAGGGGAGATAATTATGAATTCGTGAAAAATTAATGGCATCATTTAAGAATCTTCTTCTCAAGAACCACTGTACTTAAAAAACATGAAACTTATGTGGAATCATTGTGAGGTAGTGTAGGTTAAAATTTGTTCAAATCGGCACCCAGAGCCATTGAGCAGCGAGGGATCTTTTTCATGCCAGCATTTACTGCGACACGGGACCTCGGTTTATACGGCCTCATCCGAAGAACCGGTCTCCACGTCCCGCAGTGAATACGAACCCGCGACGTAAGAATCAACTCCCTACACTGCCACTCTAGAGGAGCAAACGCTCTAACCACTGCGCCACGCCACAAAAATTAAATCATAAATAAAACATTACAGCATCACGTCATCCTCCCAAAAGAACTAATTTCCCAAAACTATATTATATACAGTTGATGGCACATTCAAAGAAGGAATTAAGCAATATTAAGAGAGAAACAGTCTGAGATAGAGAGATGCCAGACGTTTGTATGCACTATCTATCTATCTATAGAGAGAGAGAGATAGAGTTTTATTTTGGACTGTACTTTTCAATTTCTTTTTTATTTTCTTTGTCATATTTTAATTCTCACAATACGTTTAACAAAGCTAATTGCATAATTAATGACTGACACTTTTCGGAGTCTTGATGTGTTCTTACAAAGCTTGTTTCTAGCACCCAAGAATGTATAAATTTGAATTGCACTCTTTCAAATTTAGATAACATAGTACATGTATGGTTTTAAAAATTCTGTCAAAGACATTTTTTATCTTCTCCAGCGAGATAGTAGTTTGTTATTGATGATTTAACATTGATAACTACATACAAATAATTACTAGTAAACAAGATGTGTTTGTGTGAAACACTGACACACCCGCAAGGCAGATTATGGCGAAGGTAAAAGTTTCTCAAATGCAAGTCAAACCTTAAGGTCAAGGTCAAGAGATTAAAAATGTTGGTACGCAAAGAAAGGTCTAGTCTCAAGGAATATACCTGTGAAATATGAAAGCCCTAGCACCAACCGTTAAAAAGTTTTGGCAAAGGTACTTTTAAGTTTTTCAAAAGAAGGTCAACGTCAAGGCGAAGGTCAAATGGTCAAAATTAATGGTACCCATGGGAAAGTTTAATAACATGAAATACATATGTGAAATATGAAATAGAAGTCCTAGCACCAACCTTTCAAAAGTTATGGTCAAGATTAAAGTTTTTCAAATGTAGATCAAACTGCAAGGTTAAGGAAGAAAAGGTCAAAACTGTTGGTACCCAAGGGAAAGTCTTATCAGAAGAAATATACATGTGAAATATGTAAGTCCTAGCAGTAACTATTTAAAAGTTACGGCCAATGTTTTTATCAAAAGTAGGTCAAAGTGCAAGGTCAAACGTTAAAGTTTTTGGTGCCCAAAGAAAGGTCTTTTCACAAGGAATTTACCTGTGAAATACGAAAACCCTTCTACTAACCGTTCAAAAGTTATGGCCAAGGTTAACGTTTTTTTAAAAGTGGGTCAAACTCGAAGGTCAAGGTCAAAAATAATTATACACAAGGAAAGGTCTTCTCACAAGGAATACACATATAAGTATGAAAGCCCAAACATCAACTATTCAAAAGTTATGACCAAGGTTAAAGTTGTTTAAACTCCAAGGTTACACATGTGAAATATGAAAAACGTTAACCTTGCCCATAACTTTTGATTGGATGAAGCCATGACTTTCATATTTCACATGTGTATTCCTTGTGATAAGACCTTTTTTGGGGATACTAACATGTTTTACCTTTTGACCTTCAATAATTACGTAAATTAGTTCACCCATTGATTTCTTTTAAGAATTCTGGGAAACTTTTTATGCCCCCAGTAATCGAAGATTCGGGGGCATATAGTTTATGCCTTGTCCGTCCGTCAGTCTGTCTGTTTGTCCTCATGCAATAACGCCTTTTTAAAAAGATGTTATGTCTTTCTAAAAGGCGTTATTACGCCTTCCTAAAAGGCGTTATTACGCCTTTCTAAGAGGCGTTATCGCCTTTCCAAAAGGCATTATACCGCCTTTTCAAAAAGGCGGTATTATGCCATTTCAAAAAAGCGTTATTACGCGCCTTTTCAAAAGGCGTTATTTCACCTTTTGAATAGCCGTTATGCCTTTTGACATGCCGTGTTTCAGAAGGTGCAATCCCCCCTCCCCCTTTCCAAAAATGACAAGCCAACCAAAAAAAAAAAAAAACTGCCTAAACTCGAAAATCCTATTTCGTGGGAAAGGGGTGAGTGTAGGGTGAGGGGGTCTTTTTATAACTTTTCGGTAAAACTTTTTTAAAATGCAATAATTTGTCAGAGTTCGACTATACACAAAATGTGCAGGGACCAGGCAACCAATAAATAATTATATTTCATATTTAAACTACAGCAAGACTATTTTCCCAAAAAGTGGGTGGGGTGGTATCCCCCTCCCCCATCCCACCTCCCCTACTCGTACTACCGGCCTGCTTGAAAGTGCGTGATAGCAAAAATGGTAAGGTGTTATTTTAATATGTCAATGTCAATAATTGTATGACTCATTAAATCAAAGCCATCTTTATTCATGAAATATTTAAGAATATTTTCTATACTCCTGCACATCTCGCAGACAACTGTTTGCATGAATATTTTAAAAAGAAGTCAACACTCTACTTGTGAAAATCCAGGATTTAGGCAGATGCCGCTTGAGACTTTGCTGGTCATGTATTAAAAATTCATTTTGAATTTGAAAATCTTTTTCTTTCCTCTTGTAAAAAAGCAGGCAAACTATTTGCAATAGAGTAATGAGCAACCAAACTTGTGAAATCCATGACTCTTGGTAGAGGTGTCTGGCATCAGAGAGGATATAGCATCGTTCTTGAAAGTCCATGGAGGTAGCAGCCAGAGAAAAAAATTTCAACTTACCTTAAAAAAGGACAATTGTCCAAACTCGAGAATCCTATTTAGTGGAAAGGGGATGATGTGTACGTTTTAACTTCTTACAGTAATAAATTTTATTCATACACTATTACATAACCCTTTACTGCAACAAAAGGGGGGGGGGGGGCAACCGGCCTTTCAATGAACCTTTTCAATAGTAAAAGTTATGTTTGGAAAAAAAGTGGGGGGGGGCACCCCTGGATGCTACGTGCCTGAAGTTGGTACAAGATAGGAAATAAATGGCGCACTCAAAAATCTTTCCTCCTGGATATCTAACTACAATCTGTTTAAATTATTTTTCAAGAAATATGTCCTATACCAAATTGTGAAATTCATGTTCCGAGGGTCAGCATTTCAGCCTTCGGGTGGGCTAAGCTAGTCATGTATTGAAAGTAAAAGGCGTAATAACGCCTTTTAAAATGTTTTTTATCCATAAATTGAACCTAATAGGCTTTCATACCCTATAAGCATTGAGTGGACAATATGAATACTATTCATATTGTCCACTCAATGCCTTGAGAACATTTTGTTAGACAAACATCACACTTAGCATACTGTTACCCATTAAGGACCCTCTATACACTAGAGGAAAATATTTTTTGGACATTGAGAAAATTATAGTGTGTAAAGGTGTATGTATTGAGCTTATCTATCACATTTTCATCATAGGGTGCCTTGCATTTACTCCCAGGAAAAATGTTCAAAGACAATGAAGTACTGATGAAAATAAATCACTGTTGTTTACTTAAGTTGGCAAAATACCTGGAAATGAAGTGTTCTATCTATTTATCTTGCCCTATTAAAGTGTTATGAATGCTTGATTTGATCACAAATTAAATAATAAACTGTACATTTCAATTTATTTTATCCTTGATCCAAGGGCAGATCACTCTATCTGCATAAAAATACCACAAAATCAGAACTCTCTAGTGTGCAGGGTATAGAGGGCTCTTAAGTAGTGGATTACTCAATTTTGAGGTCACAAGGTCAAAGGCTAGGGAGTCAAAATACACAGGACATTGGAAGATATTGTTTGCTTAAATATCTTGAGAGCTATCTGCTTGACAGGCATCAAACTTCGTACATTGGTACACTGTACTCTCTAGGAAGAAAATTTCCCCCTAATGATAAGAAGTAATAATAGAGATCAAACTTATATATGTGTTTGCCCTAATATACTTGGACTGATGCCTTCACAAGACTGCTTTTATCAGTCCAAATATCCAGTAGCTATCCCATTTTTTTTCCCTTTCACTACATTCTAATTTAAAGTTGATCCTTTGTAATATTACCACATTGGCTGGGGAAGGGGGATATGTTTCAAAAACATTTGTTGTTTATAATAAAACTGTATAGTCTAGATAAAGATGTCCTTACTCCATGTTTAATGAATTGGAAATTCCGAAAAAAAAAATCATTACATTGTCAAGTTTCAAAGATACACAACAAAGAAATGTAACAGGAAGTGATGGTTTACTGAACAACTAATAGAATTTACTTTACATACAAAAAAAAAATCTCTTATTAATATTTAAATGTCAAACTGTGATTTATTTTAATTATCATTTTCCTCTGCAATTTACAGAGGAAGACTGTCATTAATCTGCAATAAGCAAATCAAACTACAGATATAGCAGAAAAACATTACATCATATACAAAATTCTTATAGTGGAAGAGTCTGGAAAAAGCTTGTAATGTTATAAGGCAATCCAATACATGTAAAACCAATGAACCTTTGCAAATGTAAAATCTGACAGCCACACTGCAAAGGAGATTTTCCTGTCAGGAATACTCAATCTCTTGTGATCTGAAATAAAATTAAAAGTTTGTGTCATTAAAAAAAATTTCAAAGTGGATGTTTTCAATTCAATCATATAAATACTGCTGTAAATAACTTTTTATTTGTGAGAACTTTATTTTTGCATAATTATGCGAGAGAGTGTGCTTGCGAAAATATCATTCTCACATATATTAGTATTCCGAAAGATTTTATTGAGCAATAAAACAATTCGTTAAAATATTTTCTCCCTAGTAAAGAGTAAATGTCTATCTCGCGAAAATAAGGTGTCGCTAAAATTTGGTGATCTACAGTATTTCATTTGTTACTATTAAAACTAAAGAGATGAAAGTGAGAAATGTGATCCCAGAATATTAGATGATGGATAATGATCTATGAATTCATTATCATCAATGCCAAATATTTAACATACATGCATATACAGTATATTTATAAATAAAATTTTTTTTTAGATAAAAACTGCATTTGTGAAACATTAAATGCTTACTAGATACCATTTGTAAGACCTTTGCCAAATATGAATCTTAAATCTTGCTATCTAGATACAATTTATTATATTATACTTTCATGTAAATTAGTTGAATCTGATTCATCGAGAAACATTTGTTAAAAAACATTATTATACTTCTGTTAAAACGTTTCCTATATTACGTTAAGAAGGTAAAATAACTATTTTTCTATAGTCTGAAAATTTCACGTCTAGCAAAGCTACACCCCGGGGTATAGTTTTTGCTACCCACCCCTCGGAAAATTTTCATGCAATTTTTGCCGCCAATTTTGATTTCCTGCGATCAATCTGTAGACTGACTTCAGTAGCATTGTGACATCATCAGGAGTTCAGCTCATTCTTGCGGTATTATCTAACTTCAAATATTTGCTCAAAACTTTTATAATTATTCTTTTCATGTTTTTCCTATGAAACTGTAGTATCGGGTAATCCAACCCTCAGAAATTATTATGTAACATTGAAAATTTTCACCCTTCAAAAACCATTGTCAACCTCGGCTGCAGGTTGACAATGGTTTTTTTGGGGTGAAAATTTTCAATGTTACACTCAACTACATGCAATATTTATATAATGTTACTAGCTATTGCCATAATTACCATCAAAGACAGAACAAATAGACCAAAAACTATATGCTCCTGATCACCAGTATTTGATCATAAAACTGACTTCTTTTTGTTCATCTGCTCTCACACTTATTTGACTTTTTAACTTGACACTTATTTGACTTTTTAACTTGACACTTATTTGACTTTTTAACTTGACACTTATTTGACTTTTTAACTTGACTTTTACATCTCAGAGTAACACTGAACAGTAAACTTACTTGCAGTTAGGACATGTAAAGAATACTGTCTGTCCTTCATCAGCTGATCGAGTCTGTCTGGTTGTGTAGATCATCTTCTCATTTCCACATTTGCTGCACTTTCTGTCAGCCTATGAAATGTATTGAGAAATTCCTTACATACAAAAATTCATAAAAGAGTAATGGAATTTTGAGAGTATGCTCAAATAAGCCTGAACTTAATAAGATGACAAATATATGAATTGATCCGATCTCCTCTAACTTACCAACATCAATGAAAAAGATGAATGAATACAAAAAGTACTGACTGTGTCTATTGTACAAGAAGAAATCATCATTTGGCTTAGGCCTGAGTATCACAAGCTACCTAACGATACGATACGGTCATGCGACACAACATGTATCATGATACGGCTGTCAACAATTGAATTAACCATTATTATGTTCCCCAAACGAAGTTTGGGAACATATTGTTTTTACTCTGTTTCTTATTATTATTATTATTATGTTCCCCAAACGAAGTTTGGGAACATATTGTTTTTACTCTGTTTCTTATTATTATTATTAAGGTCTTCCGTCTCCACGGAAGACCTTATAGTGATTCTATTGTTTCTTATTATTATTATTATTATTATTCTTTTTTTTTTAGACAAAATTTTGTGCACGCGATTTCTCGAAAACTATTCAATGAATTTCCTTGAAATTTTCAGGGATAAAAGGTCTTTATATGAATTTTATATAAAATTCCGTTTTTTGGTAAACTCGGTTCCAGTGCCAATTTATGGACAATTTTCTGATTTTAAAATGCAATTTTGTCCGCGAGTGTTCTCGAGAATGGCTTAAGATATTAACTGGAGACTTGTTAGAGATGATAGAACTTGACTTTCAGATTGGAGAGGGCACCTTTTCGTCTGTCGTCGGCACTTCCGGTCGCTTACGGAAGTGATCAAAGAAATCGTTAAATTTCAACTTTCCTTTTTTAAATCAATTCTTACATCATTTTATTGCATCTCTTTTGTAGTTTTGAAATATGTTGGTCCCACCGGAAACAAAAACGTCAACTTCCGGTTATAAGAGAAAAACGACATAATTTGAGTATTTTTCTTTCCCATTAATATCTATTGTAGATAAAGTATTTGGAATGAATTTTAAACATGTTATTCAGACAGATAATGTCTAGAGTAACCTCAAATATCTTTCAAAAATTCACTTCCGGTCGCGTGTTTTTCTGTCCTCAAAATGAGAAGTTGTCTGAGCAAGATCTCGGAAACGGTAAGAGATTAAGACACCAGACTTATATGAGTAACAGACCTTAAGATGTAGCAAAAACCATTTGGGTTCAGAGCGTCAACCGTCACTTCCGGTTGTCACAGGAAGTGATCAAAGAAATCGAAAATTTCAACTTTTCTTTTTAATTTATTTAAAGATTGCATCACTTTATTGCAACTTTTTCGCAGATTCGAAAGATGTTGGTCCCACCGGAAAGAAAAACAACAACTTCCGGTTATAAGAGAAAAACTACAAAATTTGAGTATTTTACTTTCCTATAAATATTCTTTATAGATAACGTATTGGAAATGAATTTTAAATATGTTATTCAGACTGCAAAGGTCTAGAGTAAACTTAAATATCTTTCAGAAATTCACTTCCGGTCGCGTGTTTTTCTGTCCTCAAAATGAAAAATTGTCTGAGCGAGATCTCAAAAACAGGTAAAAGATTAAAACACATTCTTATGAGTAGCAGACCTTGAAGAGTAGGCAAAACCATTTTGGTAAACGCGTCCGTCGTAACTTCCGGTCATCACAGGAAGTGATCAAAGAAATCAAAAATTTTAACTTTTCTTTTTTAAATTAAAGTTTGCATCACTTTATTGCATCTCTTTCGCTGTTTTGAAACATGTTAGATTCCACCGGAAACAAAAACGTCAACTTCCGGTTTTAGGTGATAAGCTACGTTACTTCGATATTTAACCTTCTCATAAATATTGCTTATCGATAAAGTACTTGAAATGTTTTTATGCATTTTGTAGATACTGCAAATGTATAGAAAAACGTCAGAGATTTTTTATAAAATTCACTTCCGGTCGCGTGTTTAGAAATTGCTCGGCAACAGTAAACGACTGAAGTCTAAAACTTTCAGAACTGATAGTCATTCATCAGTTTATTTGAATCGCGAGGAAATCTTGTATCGCCGTTACTTCTGGTCGTGACAGGAAGTGATGCAAAAAAGTGAATGGTTAATGGTTAGCACGTTGGATTTTCACCCTGACAACCAGGGTTAAATCTCCAAAGTGTCTGAATTTCTTTTATCACCTTTTCAGCTTGAATTTACATTTTTACTTTCAAAATCGGACGGAAGACCTCTCATTGCTCGCAATGAGTTTCTAGTTATTATTATTATTATTCTTTTTTTCTACTTTCTTCTCCGGTACTTTTTTGTCCGCGAGTGTTCTCATAGAACCACTCATCCGATTGACATGAAACCTTTTTAGGGTTAATAGGCATGTTGTGTAGGTGTTCGGAACGAAGGTCATTTTGCGCGCACATGCATGCACGTGCGCGCGCGTGCAATGAGTGAAATGACTGATATACTTGATGAAGCCGTAACTTTTATATTTCTTGATGAATTGCTTTGAAACTCAAAATATAAAGATATATTAGTAGTCTAGACAAGATGACATGGTCAAATTAGCGTGAACTCACGCGCATGCACGTGCGCTCTTCTCTGATTGGCTGATACAAAAATCTCAATATTTTCCTTGTTTTTTGACAAAATACTTTGAAATTTAGAATATAAGTATATATTATAAGGTGCTACAACATGTTATATAGGAAATTCTTGAAAACACGCGCATGCAGGTGTGCTGCAATCTGATTGGTTGAAAGTTTAAATGTCTATAACTCCCTTGGTTTTCAACAAAACAGGATGAAATTTACGACATGGATAGGCACATAGAGCTCCTACATTATGATACTATCAAAATTGAATGCAAGGCCATGCATGCGCGTATGCTGAATTCTGATTGGCTAATACTTAAATGGTCACATCTCTCTTATTTATCAATGAAATTCTTTAATATTTAACACAAATGTATGTATTGTGAGACACTATAAGAAAATTAATGTGAAAAATGTAGAAAACATGTGCAAGCACATGCACTGAAATTTGATTGGCTAATACCAATATGGCTATATCGGAGTAGTTTTCCAATGAAATACCCTTAAAAATGAAGTGTCCATCTATATTACAAAATTATTGTCCAATTTATTGAAGCTTGTAGGGAATGGGGCATCATAAGGGATTGGGGAGCCGTTTGGGGAACATCTGTAACGGTTCCCGTTACAATTAGCACTAGTTAAGGTCTTCCGTTTTCACGGAAGACCTTATAGTGATTCTACTGTTTCTTATTATTATTATTGTTATTCTTATTTTTCCTCCCATATTTTGTGCACGCGTTTTCTCAAAGACTATTCAGTGGTTTTCAGTGATTTTTACAGGGATAATGGACATTATTATGAACTTTGTGCATTTGAGGAGAAAATTCAATAAATCTCTTTCGGTTCCATGTAATGGCCAATTTTCTGATTTTGAATTGGATTTTTGTCTTTCTATCTCCTCTAGAACGGCTAAAGGTATGAACTGGAGACATGTCAAAGATGATAGAGCATGACTTGTAGATGTTCTGACCAATTTTTTGTGTGTCGTCGATGCTTCCGGTCACCACCGGAAGCGAATTTCAAAAATGGATTTTTTCAACTTTTCTGTTTTTCATTATTTTTCTTTGATATTATTAGAGTTTATAGAAGCACTTCTAAAAATGCTTAATATATAATTTGTTTTAAAATTGATAAATTCAAACTCTAGATATTTGCATTTTAAAATTTGAAGCGGGGTCAAAATGGCGCCCGTCTCCGTAAACTCCGACGAGCTGGTCGGAGTTTACGGAGACAGCCGAGCGTCTTGTTGAACGAAACTACCATAAGGATCAATAAAATGTACAGGAATTATTGGATCTGGCAGATTTTGGAAATGGATAATCTGTCTTTGAAAACATAAATATTCTGACCTCCAAATGCAATAAAATTAGTAATTTGTACGGTACATACAATAATATATATGCTGATGGAAACCATTCAATAGAACAAACATTTTAAAGAAAAGCGCGAAGATTTGCTCGTGACGTTTGGCGCGAAATAATGTATTGTAACACCCCTCCCTTTTCATAGTAGACAAATGGTCTGATACAGAAGAGCAGAAAAAGATAACATGGACATGAAATACATGTATATGGAATTCCATGGAATAGAAAGTTGTATATATATGTATAAGGAATAAAAGAAGTAAACAGAATCATCAGTTCATCAGTAATAGATTATTTCTTCTGCTGACAGTTATTGTTTAATTAAACTCAATTAACGAATTTCGATGTTAATCTGCTTGCACAAAATTGGGCTAACTAGCATTTTATAATTCCGCCGTATATATATATATAAAAAGCTTTTATCCTCCTTAACGCTTGTTACTTCAAGCATTGATACAAAAATCGATGATGGATGGTAAAATTGCGCTGGTGTCGTGGTGTCCATATTAAATTTTAAAGCAGCGATCTGGGTTTATTCCCAATTATGTCTGAATTTTCTTTCTCATTTCTTAGTTTTAATTTACGTTTTCATCTTTATAAACGACATTGAGCGTTTTTTTTCTTTCTGAATTCTGCGCTATTCTCATTTTTTAATGAGATACGAAAGATGTTGATCCCATCGGAAACAAAAACGACAACTTCCGGTTATAAGAGAAAAACTAAATAATTTGAATATTTTACTTTCCCATAAATATTCTTTATAGATTAAGTATTTGAAATGAATTTTAAATATGTTATTCATAGTGCAATTGTCTAGGGTAACCTTAAATATCTTCAAAAATTCACTTCTGGTCGCGTGTTTTTCTGTCCTCAAAATGAGAAATTTTCTGAGCGAGATCTCAAAAGCAGGTAAAAGATTAAAAGACCAAACTTTTATGAGTAATAAACCTCGAGGAGGAGGCGAAATCATTTGGGTGAAACGCGTCAGTCGTCACTTCCGCTTGTCACAGGAAGTGATCAAAGAAATCACGTTGAATTTTCACACTGACGATCAGGGTTAAATCTCCAGTGCCTGAATTTCTTTTATCACTTTTTCAGCTTGGATTTTCGTTTTTATTTTAAGAATCGGACGGAAGACCTCTCATTGCTCGCAATGAGTTTCTAGTTATTATTATTATTCTTTTTTTCTACTTTCTTCTCCGGTACTTTTTTGTCCGCGAGTGTTCTCATAGAACCACTCATCCGATTGACATGAAACCTTTTTAGGGTTAATAGGCATGTTGTGTAGGTGTTCGGAACGAAGGTCATTTTGCGCGCACATGCATGCAAGTGCGCGCGCGTGCAATGAGTGAAATGACTGATATACTTGATGAAGCCGTAACTTTGATATTTCTTGATGAATTGCTTTGAAACTCAAAATATAAAGATACATTAGTAGTCTAGACAAGATAACATGGTCAAATTAGCGTGAACTCACGCGCATGCACGTGCGCTCTTCTCTGATTGGCTGATACAAAAATCTCAATAATTTCCTTGTTTTTTGACAAAATACTTTGAAATTTAGAATATAAGTATATATTATAAGGTGCTACAACCTGTTATATAGGAAATTTCTTGAAAACACGCGCATGCAGGTGTGCTGCAATCTGATTGGTTGAAACTTTAAATGTCTATAACTCCCTTGGTTTTCAACAAAACAGGATGAAATTTATGACATGGATAGGCACATAGAGCTCCTACATTATAATACTATCAAAATTGAATGCAAGGACCTGCATGTGCGTATGCTGAATTCTGATTGGCTAATATTAAAGGGTTACATCTCTCTTATTTTTCAATGAAATTCTTTAATATTTAACACAACTGTATGTATTGTGAGACACTATAAGAAAATTAAAGTGAAAAATGTAGAAAACATGTGCAAGCACATGCGCTGAAATTTGATTGGCTAATACCCATATGGCTATATCGGAGTAGTTTTCCAATGAAATACCCTTAAAAATAAAGTGTCCATCTATATTACAAAAGTATTCTCTAATTTATTTAAGCTTGTAGAAAATGGGGCATCATAAGGGATTTGGGGAGCCGTTTGGGGAACATCTGTAACGGTTCACATTACAATTAGCACTAGTTATATATTATTCTTTGCTAACCTCCACAGTTATAGAAAATATAAAAAGAATATCTTGATACCCCTGACCAAAGTTAATAAAAGGTGGATTTATAGTCTTGATATTGTATTTTTTCTTTGCTCCCTTTTTTCAGTCATTTTAAAATGTAAAAAATTGTGAGGTTGTATGTAGAAGTTTCAAACAAAACAATGAAAATTATCTTGCACTGTATCACAATATATACGTGGCGATACGATACGTAAATCGTGAGCCCTTGCGATCAATACGATCGATATAATGCTGATCGTTACACCTCTAATTTGGCTACAACTGCCTACACATATTGCTATAAAGTTTTGTGATAAAACCAGGGATTTTCCACTCCACTTTGGGAATGGGGCCCAGGCCCTTGGAATTGGGAATTCAAGGACATTTTATCACTTATTGGGAAATTTTATTGCATGATGTTTAAGAAATTAACACTTATGATGAATAAAATTGATCTTTCACTTAATTATTTAGAACTGTATATGAGAATAGATCAATTATAATAAAGTTTTGGCAAAGTTTCTTAAAATTTTGTTCATTTCATTCAGATTTTCAAACCTGGCCATGTTTTTTTTTTACCAGAACTTTGATCAAGTTAACTTTGTGGGTTTATTTTTGGGAAAAAGGGAGGGATTTTGCAATTAGAAATGGGGCCTATATTTGGCTCTACACAAGGCAGTGGAAAATCCCTGTAAAACAAACTAATTTACTTAAATAGCTCAGAGACATGTAGGGTAGAAGTACTACCTGTATGTTAGTCCAGTTTTACAGATACTCAGTGAGTTTTCTGTTTCCTTCTTAGATGTAGTTCAATTCTTCAACTTTCTATCCCTGCATCCCCTACTCCTCTCTTAATAAGATTTTTGGGGGTTCCATCTATGAAAGATACTCACCAGGGGTCCAGAGGACACTTCTCCTTCCTCAGTTTCAGGCAGCAGAATCTCTGGTCGGTTAAACACTATGCTGGATGTAATTTTCACACCATCAAATTCTGGAAGAATATGATACTGGCTTCATAGTATGCAATCTATGATTTACAATTGGGAGTTGGGAAAGCTATCAGTAGATGGACAGACAGAAACTATTTTTCCATTTAATAGTCCGGGCAAATTGAAATAAAATCAAAACAAGGGCACTCATTCACACAAACAAGAGTGCATTGCTATATTCCCTCCAACTTCATTGTGAGGGGATAATAATTACAAGGGTTGTTAGGAAAGTTCGTGGACTATGCCAATCTTCGTTATACTATCTTCAAGAAATTTAAAATTAGCACATTATCACATGTAAAAATATTTATTTTGTTTAAGTGGGAAGTTTCATTTCCATGTGATTTTATAAAATTCATGTTATTTAATTTTAAAATCAAACGTTTTGTAACCACAGAGCAAACTCAACAACACTGTAACGTCAAAAACAAACAACATTAGATCTCAAAAATACTATCCCCATACATTTCACACAGTATTGCCCGATACCAGTGCACTCATTAAAAATGTTTCTCTATCACTTGAAATCTATTTTGCTAACAATTGTTCCAGTAGCATCATTTTGTTTGTCAATGTTATATTTTTTCACTGCATAAGTGTGCTTTCACAAGATCAGCATCTGTGAAGTGCAAAACTCTTAGCATGACGTTACTAACTTTTCAATGTTTTTGATAAGATTTTTACAGATAATCTGTTTTCTCACAGATCACCATCGTCTAAGCAGAGTAGTCTATCATTCAAATACCGCTTGTACCATGTACACACACTTGCATGGCTCGCTTTTGACATATTTCCTACTTCCTCCGGCAGAGATTTTTCTGGAGTTTTCCCGAGTAATACACAAAATTGTATGGTTAACTGCTGCTCCGTGACATTCTACAACATCATCTTTTTTGCCTTTTTCAATGAGGACTACCTATCTTCTGAAACTGATTTGAATTTTTCAGTTTTTGTGTCATTTTACAGAAGATATGACTTCAGACATTATTTAGTGTCTTGATTGTAAATTACAAAATTTTGACCTGCTCTGTGATCCGATTTTTGCATTTTTTAATTCTAAATAAGTTTGAGATAACCCATGATATTTAAAAAAATTTTAATACACATCATTAGAATTTACTGTTGAAATATTTCTTCCAAATTTGGATATAATATGATGTTAAGTAAAAAAGTTATGACTGTAGTCCACAAACTTTCCGAACAAAACTTGTATTTTATATACCATGCAATTAATTTGATAGGTAAGATCTTCTTGCCTTTCTTCATTTTACCATTTGCTTCTAATAATACATATATGATGCATAGATTTCTTTTCGTTATGAATCAGAAGTTATAATGGGTCTCTTAATCTGAGGATGAGGTTTAAATTTACATGCTACTCCGTTAAATTGCATTAATCCAAATCCCTTTACCGCATAAGCAGAAATTTTGGCGAGGATTAATTTTTGGCATTTTTTAGCGAGAGTGTTGAAATCATTAAAATTAAATATTGCTAACCTCTAATGCAGGATAAATTGATAGCGATATTTAATTTTAATGATTTCAACACTCTCGCTAAAAAATGCCAAATATTAATCCTCGCCAAAATTTCTGCTTATGCGGTAAAGGGATTTGAATTAATGCAATTTAACGGAGTAGCTTGTAAATTAAAACCTCATCCTCAGACTAAGAGAAGCATTATAACCCATTATGACAGTTTATCTATCTATGCACCATAAAATTGCTAAAATTACTTCTCACTAAAATTAAATACTTAATATTTTTAAGGACAAATCGCTAAATTTGTATCTTGCTAAAAATTCCACTTAAACGGTAAGCACAATTACACTGAAACATGTACATGCTAAGCCTGACTGTCCATCTTCAGTTTTCTTCCAAAGGAAGCAATGACATACCTCGGACATTGATCTTGAAGCCACAAAGCTTGCATGTGACATAGTCTTCCATACCAGGAAGTGGCAGAATGGTTCCACACGTTGGACAAAACTCCAAGTCTGTCACAAAGTTACTGCTTTTCTTTGACATTCTCTTGAGTATTTAAAAAAAAAGAATTATTATTCAGGTCAGTCAATTCCAAAAATTAATCTAAATATTAAACATTAACCTTTGAATAACATTTTCTCCAAAATCTAAACAGAAAATATTATCCAAAGAATTTACTCTCTAGTTAGAATAATCTAACTGTGTCTCGGGACAAGCCCTCGCCACAGTTAAACTGGGTCCATAGGACAATATCATTTTAATGATTTAATCTAATTACTCTCATTAATTAACATTGAGATGCTTCTTCAGTAGTGCATTCCCTCTCATCAATTATTATGATCTTCATGCTAGAAACATTGCATGAGATCAACCCATTAACATTTTCCAAAGGACATACATTCATTACAAAGTCAAACATAAAGCTGCAAGTAAATAAAATTAAAATCATGCACTGAAAATAAAAGGAGTATCATTGGACAAATGAATTTTCAGATCTTGCACATACAGACAGGTGTCAGTTATGTTAAAATTACATAGATCCTCTGACGTGAAATGTGGAGGCTAATAGGGCCAGACCGTTTGCCCAGTGTCTATTATGCTGAGAGGATGAGAGTCATCGAATCCATCTAGGTGGAATGTACACCACTCTGATAAGTTCAGCAGTCTATCACTAACATCCAGCATAAGCTTGTACTTATTTCAAATTTGGACTGAGATTCTGCAGATAAATTTTTCAATCTCCCTTGCAGAGTTGTCATTCATTTCTCTCTCAAACACCTCTGCAATGGGCTCACGTCTCGGTTTTAGACAAAAATTAAAAAACATGTTATTCCAAAGATTATTTCAAATTAAACTAATAGTTCTAGATCTACTTCTTAAATATTTACCTTAAGCATCTAAATTAGCACATGCACTTAATTTTACACAGGCACACTATTTCTCCTGCTGACCACTGTGATATATAAAGCAAGCTATAGACAGAGGTGAATCTATGAACTGATGATGAGAGTTATAAATTTTTGCTCTGTTGATAGAAACAATACACAATTAAAGTGCCTACAGTGGGATTTGAACCAATGAACTTTCGGTCACTGAGCCATGTGCCCCATTTATAGGACCTGATAGCAAACAGGTGCCCACAGAGTGGAAACCTCCTCACTAAGCTTATAGAGATTCAACTATTTTGCAAGCATACCTAAACAAATTTAAATACTTTACTACTGTACCTTCTTCAATTTTGGCTGGTTCTAAGTATATTGTTCAGCAAATTTCTGATGTATGGTTGAAACGAAGAAATGAGTAAAGAACACCAGAACAAGAGTTTTAAACATCAAGATGAAAAAAAGCATGTAACATATCCAAAACGTCATGTGGAAGTTGCATGGGAGCTGCCATGTTGGATTATCTCATAACCCAGAATAAGGTGGTAGCTTTTAACAAAACGAAAATTTTGTTGTACAATTATTTGTTCAACAGTCAATTTTTTTTTATAAATTCTTTTGCATTTAAGCTTCTGTTGATTAAAAATAAATATTTAATTAATTTTTTGGCAGAATTTTAAATATTCAAAGGTAGAGAAACAAATGTCTTTTTTCCAAATTTTGGCTCCCATAATTGTTCAATAATAACAAGATGAAGCTTCTCACACATAACTTTCTGACATCAAGCATCATAAAAGGGGTAAAGAACGGGTACCCTTTGGGTATTTTGGTATGTATCTTGATATACCACATACGTTTTGAAGACATATATAGTATTTGTAGTGTTGTAAATGGTACGTTTGCCTCAATATTTTTTAAGGTGTACTGTATCACTATCCGAGGCATTATGTCACATAAATAACTGTTGTTTTTTTCTGACTCTATAGATTAAATGTAGTATTGGAGACTTACATGTAATTTATTTATGTATCTGAATATTTGTTGAAAAAATTATAGGAGAGGGAGTGTCTCGATCTGTAATATGAAATATCAAAATATTGAGTGTCAGAATATGTGAAAGTAACAGATGTGCATAAGGTTTGGGATGCTATACAGTGTAAGTAACCTACTATAAGCACTTGTCACTGAGCAGATTGGGAAAAACCTGCTAAAAGCTTTTACTCCTCTGTACTGTAGATTATTATTTCTTTGTTTAGGTATAAAAACTGTAATCTCTGAACAGAACCTATTTGGTGTGTTGACCACAGTTGTTGTTACTGTTGTTAATTTGCTTGTCTTCTTTCTTTGATTTTCAGTTTATCTAATTTTTGTTACCCCTAGCGATTGCAATATTTACATGTACATATGTACCAGGAACTGTTATTTTTAAACTTTTTCTTATTTTTTAGCCAGCAAAAGTTGAAGTGAAAGAAGTGGAGTTTAATCCAGAGTTCATTACCAGAATGTTACCAAAAGTAGACTGGATGGCACTCCAAAAAGCTGCCAAAGAGGTCAGAGGTCAAAATAGACTGAGAGTTTATAAATCAAAGAAGCAGAATATTCAATGTCTCTAAATATATATCCATTTCTGTGTTTTGTTAACAATATGAATCCCTATGCTACCCTCTATATTTTTGACGATATATAGTCATAGAACAGATTGAGTCAAGTTTTAAGAGTGATTGTATTTTGTTGAATCTGAACTAGAACTGAAAATTAACATCTGTCAGAAAAACATTTTTGATCCATTTATTAGAATGCTGTAAGTCCATTGATGGTTTTTGTATAGCTAATATCTAATTTCAAAAAGATTATAAACAAAATAATCTCAAATTTACAAAATAGTACTGGTACTGAACTTTTTAAAAATTGGAAATGTTTGTACTTGTATTACGGATATATGGTCTGACATGTTTGTTGTAATTTGAACTTTAATTCTATAGTGTGGGTATGGAGAAGGATTACCAGATGCTTTAAAAGATGAACTAATGGAAGATACTGACTTTCTGAAAAAAGTCCACAATGCTTTGATGGAGGTTAGTGAGAAATTAGAGGGCCTTACTAATACAATACATCATACATGTACTTTGAAAAAAAAAAAAAATTGTTCTTTTTCAATTCTGCTTTGTCTTGGTGGTAAACTTTTATTTGGATTGCATTTTTATTTTCTTCATTGATAATTTTTGCCAGTAATCTACACTATCAATTTGATTTCCTCACCATTAAAAGGAGATATTACAATGTAAATGTTCCAGTGTACAGCTATGAAATGATGGCTGATTTTGTTTCAGATTGAGGTGATCGAGGGTAAGCTGGTCTGTCCCGAGTCTGGCCGGGAATTCCCCATCAGCAATGGTATCCCTAACATGTTATTAAATGAGGATGAAGTGTGACAAAAAAATCTAGGCAGAAACAGGACAATAGTGCATGGATGTGTGGATTAATGAGTGAAAGTGTAATTAAGACTTTTTTTTTAACAAATTCAAGATGACTTTACCGTTACTTTTGCTATTATGAATGTATAAGGAATGAATAAGACATGTATGTTTTGTTAATCTTGTTGAGTATAATGTGAAATTGTTTGGTCAGGCAGATTTCTTAATTTTTAAATTCTGTCTGCAATAACAATAGCAATGAGAATGTACATGAAACATAAAATTTCATATCATATACAAAAAATATTTGTATTATTTTGCGTTTCATTTTAATCATTAAATTCATGTAATAAAGAATCGTCTAGCAGAATGCTTTAATTTGTCAATCCTACAAAGTGCATCGACTGTATCATGGCTGTCAATCTACAAATTGACTGATACGAGGTACATGTACAACACATCATCAGCAATGGCAAGGAATTTACAATCCTCTTGTAAATGTCATGGCTACAGCTCGGCAATGACTACCTGGAAAGTCTGCTATTTGATTTATATACATAGAGTTTGGCCCTCTGTAGAGCATTTGCATGTTATGTGAACAAATGGCACAAAAATTAAAAAAAAAATGTCTATGACAATGATATATCAAAACAAGAGACCCATGAAGCTAGAGTTGCTCTTCTGATAAATTGTGCAAATCTGTCACTGTGACCAACGAGGCCCCAAGACAAATCGGCTGACAAGGTTTGATGATGATCTTAGGCCTATTACTATCCAGGGTAATAAGACTTGACAATGAATAACGAAATTCAAATTGTTGGTCACTGTGACCTACTTTTGATATATTCTTGGGCACAAAATACATCAACTTTTTAGGTTTGGTGACCCTAAAGGTCATGTGTTCAAATTATTTAGATTACAATATTTAATAATAATAAGCCTTCAAATTAAAAAAAAAAAAATTGGTACATGTAACGGTGACCCTTTTTTTTAAGCTGACACACCTCCAGAACCCAAGATGCATCAACTGACAGGTTTGATGATTTGAAGCCTCATAATTAGTATCTGAAATATTGAAACAAAACTATGAAATTCCCAAAATAGGTCACTGTGACTTTAAGCTGACAAAGCTTGATGATTCTAAGCCTCTTACAATCCTAAATATTGAGATAAAAGTATAAAATTACAAAATATAGGTCAGTGGTGAACAACTTTTTAGATTCACTCCAAGAAACCAAGATGCATCAACTGACAGAGTATGAGGATTCTAAGCTCTAAGTATCTGAAATATTCAGATATAGCTGTGAAATTCAAAAGTAGGTCATAGTGACCTACTTTTTGGTTGACACAATGCTCACCTGAGTCACTATGGCCTTTTTTCTTCATCACATTTTTTTTCCCCTATATATTCCTATGTAAAACTTATATCATCATCACTTATTGTGGGCCCCATCCTACCCAACAGGGTCATGATTTGAACAAACTCGAATCTACACTACCTGAGGATAGATTTTTAGAAATTTTTCTTAAATATTCCTATGTAAAACTTTGATCCTTCATTGTGGCCCCATCCTATCCCCCAGGGGTCATAATTTGAATAAACATGAATCTTCACTACTTGATACTTCCAAATCAATATGACAAATATGGCTTTGCTTTGGGATTTTTTTCCTAATATATAATCCTAGGAAAAACTCTGACCACCCATTGTGGCCCCACCTTTACCCCTTGGATCATGATTTGAAAACATTAATCTAAATTACCTGAGGATACTTCCATATATAAATGACTTATCATGGCTTTTCTTTTCTTGAAATTTTTTTTCTATATACCCGGTACATGTATTCATGTGAAAATTTTACAGGGTAGTGTGTAGGGTGGAGCCACTGTGACCCCACCCTAACCCTGAGGGTCATGATTTGAACAAGCATGAATCTATCCTATCTCAGGATGCTTTCATTTCAATACCATGGCTTTGTTGCTTTTTAGAGTTTTCTTATATGTTTATTTTCTTATGTAAAACTTTGATCATTCATTGAGGCCTCTACCTATTCCAAAGAGTCATGACTTGAACAAACTTGAATCTACACTACCTGAGGATGCATGATCATTGCATTGCTGTTCTTAAAAAGAAGATTTTTTTAAAAACAATTTTTCCTATATATTCCCATGTAAGCTAAGTCTTTGATCACCCAAAGTGGTCCCACTCTTCCCCCAGGGGTCATGATTTGAACAAACTTGAATTTACACGGTATCATTTTATGTATTTATTAGTTTTTTTCATAAAAAGTCTAAAGAATACATTGCAATTATAGTGATACAACATTCAAGAGTTTCAATGAATTGCACAGAAAAAAAATGAACGTCATCAGCTGGACATGAAAACTGGAAACTAGCTACATTGTACATTTACAAATGTACATGAAAGAGGGAGATAAGGCATGCCGAATTCAAACAATCTAAGTATAATATGTACATGTATAGTGTACATGTAAGTGTTTTTTTTTAAATTGGTGTACAGGTAGACAAACTCTCATTTAAGAAGAGAAACATTCCATCTCACTTGGATACAAGGATTATCTTTAAATCCAACTGTTTCTACAATTAATGTATACAAGTACATGAAGTCTTCACAGACTATTTAATTAGATACTTCTATTTCCTATATACGAACTACAAGTTAGACTCATTAAAAAGTTCTCATTATTAAAAATATTGAAAAAAAAGTTTTAAAACAACAATATATTAGCATTTTCCCCTCAGTTTTCATAAAAAGAGAGCATACAAGATTGAACTTCAAAACAAGAGCTTCTCAGGAATTCCATTCCATCACATTCTCAGTTGTTTTACTTCCTGGTTATTCCTAGGCCTGCCACCTTATACAGCTATCAGCCTCCGACCACATTATACAGCTATCAGCCTACGAGGATCCTGGAGGTACATAGGGCCGTGAACCAGGTCTGGATTGGGTCCCATGGCCACCACTCTGTTTCCTAACCGCGTGGGATCAGGGCCATGTCTTAGTTCTGGGTTAGGACCCACAGCCGCTATGTAGTTTTGTCTGCCAATAAAAAAGATATATATTCAGGTGTGAAATAATCAAAATATAGTCAGCTTTGTTCAACTATCAGTAAAGTACGTTCCATTATTATCATCTCTTAATATTGCGGTTTTGATCATCAAGTGTAATTGTGAAGACAGAACTGACCCATTCATTGACTGTTTGTGAATCTGCATCAACATTGTTTGATCTTACCATTTCTTTTGTTGATGACCTACTATAAACTTCAAACTTTAAAATATAAAAAAATATTATACAAGTATCTATCAATAGCTATAGGAAAACAGGACATAATCTTATTAAAAAATCATTAGGGAAAAAATAGAAAAATTTTTGAATGGGTAAAATGAGACAGACAGAATGACAGAAAGGGCACCTGCAAATCCTTGTGGGGCCCTAATAATTCTAGCATTATTCCAATGAAATTATCATTGTGTATCTTACATGAGAAGGGACTCATCTGGGCCTTTCCTTAGTTCTGGATTAGGACCAATGGCAGCTGTTTTATACTCTGAAACTGTGTGTGGATGTCTGGCCACCAAAGATTCCTTGTGTTTACTCCTAAAACAACATCACAAGTCGTATGAAAAATATGGTATCAAGCAGTCTCATGGTAATGAATTTTTTTTAGTTTATAGCCACAATTACTTGACACTGCATTTATTTTGAAATAATGACAGTAAATGGTAAATCTCATGATAAAAAATGTCTTTGTTGCATTTTAAACAGCTAAATAATTTGTTTTTCTTCTTTCAGCTATATGTTCTGTCACTCTAATCCAGTGAATCTTTAATAGTTTGTTTCTCTAATATGTCAGAGAACCCCTAGTTAGCATTTTAAAATTGGTTGCCATGATCAGTGAAGTAACAATGCACATAAACCTTGAAGATACTCCGTTTTGTGAAGAGAGAAAAAGGTTCCACAATATGTGCTCCTTAGTTTCCTTTTTTTTCTGTCTGACATTTGTTCCTTAATTTATTTAAATATCCAAAGATACTAAGCAAGCCTTGCCTACAGTACTGTACTTGGTGGAAAAAAGACATCTTTATATGCAAGAATTCATGATATGAATGCTACATGTAGTAATACTTAATTTTACTGTCATAGTATGTGATTACTTAAAACAACATTTAAACAAAGGAAAAATCTTGTAATTTTTTGTAAATTTGTAAACTTAAGTAAATCTAATATTAAGGAATAGTCATGTTTTTTTAAATAAGTTAATGGAAACAGCATATTCTTTATCATTTTTATATATTAAAACTAAGATCTTACTTTTTTGCATGTTTAGCTCTTTGGTGTGGTGCCCTTAATGATGAAGGTCGCTGATCTGGTGTCCTTGACCTTCCCTGATCTGTTGTCCTTGACCTTCCCTGATCTGTTGTCCTTGACCTTTCCTGATGGGATTTTGCAGTTTTCTTTGGAGAACCTTTTTTCTTTGGTGATGATATGGAGCTTCAAATACAAATCGTTTTTATTTTTAAGGATAATGAATTCACATTAAAGATCCCCATTTATATTAATATTACTAGTATTCAAATCTGTATATAGAAATCAAGATTTTTGAAAATTGTTTTGCTAAACAAGCATCTACCTTTCTGGATCAGCCTCAAGGGTGACTGGTAATCCAGCATCCATATCAAAAGCAACTGGATCTGTAGTGGCTGGTCTACTGAAACTGGATTCACTGAATCCTAAAAAAAGGACATTTACATGAACATTTAACTTTCGTACACATACATGCAAATTTCAAAGTGCTTCTACTCAGTAATTGTATGAGCTTACCAGAGTCTGATGTTTTAGATCTGTCCCCTCTGGAACAAAAAAAAAATAGAGATAAAAAAAAATCATTTGAGGTCAAGCTAAGTCTTCTGCGATTTGCTTTGTTTAGATGCTTTGTGCACTGGTATGAATTCTGCTGAATAATTAATTGATTTATTACTTATTATTCAAATTTCTCATTAATGAATGTTAAACACAGGTGTCAATACTCTGTAGCAAATGAAATCAAGTACAAACCCAATTATATGGGACTCTCTCTCAAAAAAAAAAAACAACATATACATGTATATTATACTGTATAAAGTCTTAATTTTTCTACAGCTATATTTTCACTATTTGTGTCACAAATTAAAGCAGCAAAAATGACAGGGCTGTAAAATTAACTTGCATTTCAAATCAATTAAAGGAAATTTCTCAGTTTAAAATCTAGCAAATAGGGATTCTCCTTTATACAAAACATGGAAACTATCATAAGCAAAATCACACATTTACAGTATCTAATGACATCTGGTGATCGATTCCCTTCTAGGTATGCCTACTTGCATGTATTAGAAGTAAATATATATTGTACAAGATACTCACATTTCTGGCTTCTTCCTATCATCCCAGCCTTTCAGTAAAGTGCGACATTTTCCTTCATTGTAATGACAGATATCTAATGCCATCTCAATTACATTGGCTTCAAGATGAGAAAATGCCCCAGCTATTCGCAATTTTACTGAAAACACAAAGAATACAGGTACCTAAAATTTGCAAAAATCTGGAAGAAAAAATACATGTGTATAGTAGCCATACATTTGTGCTATTGTTAATTTGTACATACTTTTCTTCTTCTGATCTTCGGATATTGTCTCTTTTGGAGGTGAAGATTCTTTCGCTGGAGACCTATGCTCCGTCCGTTTTGCTGAGGATTGTCTGGAATGATTTCCAGATGAGGTGCCCCCTGTTGTTTTCAGCTTGTATCCCATAGACTCCAAGGTTTCTTTTGCCTTAGAGTGATTGTTGTTAACACTGCAGAAAATAAATCATTTTTTATTTAACTCTTCTGATTGTAGACTAAAAGAGATTAATTATGCATTGGTAAGGTGTCTGGTGTCCATCTCCCTGCCTGTAAATGTGTACCAAAATGCTAATCCTAGCTCCTTCATTTTTAATCTGATTTCAGTATAACTGGAAATCTTTCAAATACTACTCTCTAATAGTTTTGGTCTTATTTCAATAAAACTTGACACCCAAGTGGATTACCAGACTATCAAGACCAATAATTCTGTTTACTGGCTCAAAATTTTGATGAATCAGTTGCCATAAAGTAAAACTTTCTTATAAAGAACTTCGATTGTTATATTGAAATCTCAGTGATAAGAAAATATTTATGAATCCCATGGAAGATTTTGCACTATATTCTTAGTGTTAAATCTAGACCCTAAAAAGGCCATGGTAATCCAAGAATTAAATGGGCACATTATGCAATGACAATTTTTTATGAGGGCACTCTTTCACTTCCAAATTCAACCATTTAAACCATTTACTTTACGTACTTTAAATAACATTTTACTGAAATCTTTATTTTTACTATAATTAAAAGCACTAATCATATTCAAAAATCTGTGTTCAATTCATTTTTAAAAAGGATAACAACACAATTCACAAAGTCACATGACAATTATTGAAACAAAATAATATGTATGTATAAATTTTTGGTTAAATTTTTCAAATCAAGAATTAATATACATGTAGGTTTAATAGGCTTAAATAAAGTAATAGATGTGTGTTTAGCTGTTGCATGCCCAAAAGCTTATTATACTTTAAAGGTTTGGATTATTATTATTATTTGGGGGGGGGGGGGCATTTGTGCATCACAAGCAAACAACAAAAATATTATTTTTCAGGGATTGGAAGGGGGGGGCATACTTAGAAATTATCATGGAGCCTAGGGCATTGCTTGACATAGAAAATAATCTATATCAAGTGAAAACTTTGACCAAACCAAAAATTAAATTTTAATGCCATAAATTTCATTTAAAACTTTTTTTCTGGCTTGGAAACTCTAAAGAAAGAACACAGCTGCATTAAATGAAACCAATTTCCTACTTTGTTGTTATATGGATATAAAGAATCTCAGCCATAAGGAAGAAAAATATGATGTTTCAGTGACTTCCTTACGACCGAGTTTAAAGTTTTACTGTAGATACAATAAGCTACTTGATAATGAAATCTTACAAAATGTAACCCCTTCTTAATTTTTTGTTAAATTTCAATAAAACTTGACACACATTAACAAAACATTAATGGAAGTTTCAAAGTTCAATAAATCTAAAACTTTAAAAGCGTGTTTTAAGTTCATGTGCAACTTTTCTATACCTCTAGGATAATTACTAACTAGTCAAGCTACAGTTTCATCATAGATGTTCAGTTTTGAATGGAACAATAAAACATTTTACTGAAAATCCCCAGCAAAATATATATGCATATATATACATACATGTAAGATGAATAAGTAAAATGCCCTTTTTATCACTACATATCACAACATCATACCTGACTAGGACATCTTTAACCATGTCATACGTGGCCCCAGGATGACTCTTCATGAGGGCATTGATTGAAGCATCCAACTTTGCATTATTTGTGTCTGGTGGTGGGTGCTTAGTCTGGGATAGAGATAATAAATTTCATACAATGATCAAGAAAAATCTGCACATGTTCATTTTCAAATTTTATCCTTCTCCTTTCAAGGATTTTACAAACATTTGCTCTCTGAAAACAAAATCTTAATACAGTGTCACATGAACCATTGGTGACGATTTTAGTTTAAACATTGAAAAAGCAAATTACAGGAAAGGATGTTGTGAGTTCTCTCCCTTTGCTGAAGTCTCTATGTTCATCCCTGTTATATGTGTTAAGCGGGATTTCTCTTGTGGCAGGACTTTGCACAGATGCTTGGTTCAAAAGCTTCATGTATTTTATAAGTATAATAGAAAGAACAGAATATTTAATGTGAGTTTATTCTGACTCTTAGTTACTTCAAGGCTAGGTTCAATGCTGAGATATCATATGCAAAATAGGCAATAAATAAAAACAGATATACATACAATGATTTGATGCACATAAAAGATAAAAATTTATTTATTATGACCTTAGGGATGTTAGCATGTAAAAAAATATGAGAGACATTGACAAACACTAGATGTTCCACAGAACCACAATGTAAGTAAAAACACACGTACATGTACAAAAACTGCTAATAAATAATTGATTTTACACAAAGAGCAAGGTTCACTTTATGCATAAAATGGTCCAGTAATGATGTGTTATACATTGATTAGTCAACTAATTACATCATTTCTAATAAATATCAACTTTTGTCCATTTGATATTTCAAGTGTTGTCATCACTATTCATTGGGGACCAATTAATACTTGTTGATTCCGTGGGTCATTCTTACCAACAAATTTACACCCCAATAAACAATTATTTTAAAAATGTATTGTTTCATTGTATTAATGGTATAAAAAAGGAACCCACAAAATTACATTCTCACAAACCAGTAAGATTTTTGTTGCCCATGAACATTGACTCCCATGAATTAAAATGATTCCAAAGTAACTGAAGCTTTAATTGATTTTTATTTGGAAGAATTTTATATAATCAGATAAGGCCATAAGTGATCTTTGCTCTTTACATCAAATGTGCTCAGTCAAACCTCTTTATCTCAAACAATATGGGGCCAAGAGAATTTAAGAGATATCCAAAGATTTTGAAATATTGAGATTAAGATTCTTAAAGAAAAGATGGTAGGCGCTTCCAACTCATTTCAACATATATCCATGGTATTTTTTATATAAATGCTCAAGATATCAAAGTTCAACTGTGCATCTTATGATGCTGGGGGAAAAAACATGATTAAGCTCTAAGTTAAAAGTGACCAATCATTAAATCAACTAAAACAGAAGAACAAATGATAGATAGTGTAATAAACAAACTGAAATTTAGCTACATATCTCTAATTGATGGAATAAAAGTCTAAGAATTGAATAAAAAGAAAATTAAGAGATTATTATTGTAATATCAGTGAATAAAAGAATAAAAATCAATCAAGAGAAACAACAATGGAGAAAGCACTCTACAGACAACACAAAAAGAAAACTGAACTTTCTCCAGTTCAATAATACCTGGGCTGCGGCAGCATGCTGTCCTCCATATTGTGGTTGCTTGGGCTGATTAGCTTGCTATCAAGTATATAATTTTTTTTTTGTTATTAACCAATTGTAAAAATTCTAGAAGTAACCAAATAATCAAAATACAAATTAGTCTCAGTACTGCTTCAATTCAACAGTTGCAGATATGTAACAGTAATATTAACTTTGCAATTTAAACAAATGCTGCAGGATAATAATAAAAAAAATATGCATGCAAGTACATACTAATGCAACTCTTGGATCAATCCATGTAGTCTTTTTAGTATTGTGGTCAATGAAAAAACTGCAAGGAAAAGTCCAGAATTGAGAATAATATTAGATACTATCAGAACAATTTACCAATATGTTTACATCTGCCTTCTATAGAACAACTAAGACTTAGTAAAAGTGTTTTTCTTAATATATATATATACTAATTAGAATAGGCCTAACAGATTTATATGTAGTAACTACTCCAAATTTTAGAAGAATACGCAATCATTTCGAATTTTCTCTGCATATTTATGTGTGGTCTTTAACATGAACATGCATATTTAAATACTTATCTACATACTAAGCGCCCTGGTTAGGATCCCATCGTGCCTCCCATCCTGGAGGCAAGGGTGGCCCGCCCTGCATTTTGTAATGTTCTGTAACTTCTTATAAAACCCCAAAACAGTGTTTATTTACAAATATCCGGAAGTACACGAAATAAGGTCAATGACGCTTGTTCATTTCGTCTGACGTGTTCTGTCCCCTTGTTTGTTAAGGGAGTACAAGAGTTTACAGTGCTTGAAATAAAGAATGATTTACATCTATGTAAAAAATCTTTGCCTAAGCATACTAAAGGGATTATTTATTTATTTATTTATTTATTTATTTATTTATTTATTTATTTATTTATTTATCTGTATTCATTTACTTACTTATTTATTTGCTCTACTGGTCAGAGACCAAAGTAAGGTGTCTTTCGTCCATGTGTCCGTCTGTTTTCCAGTCTGTCCTGTAAACAGTTTTTTTTTTTAAATGCCACTCCCCCAACAGTTTTGGTTCAGCAGGCCCGTAGGAAATAATTTCATTGGGGGGGGGGGGGGGGGGCACAGCCATACATTTTCAGTTGAGGGGACACTACCGAAAATTCCCTGACAAGGGAAAAAAAAATAAAAATAAATAAATAATAAAAAGAAAAAAAAAAGGTCATCAACTACCAAAAATTCCTTGACAAGCAAAATAAAATAAAAAAGTCACCAGACGTTTTTGTTGAGGGAGTACAAGCATTCAGTATCTATGTTTACTACAGTAATCTATATATCGGGAAAATTATTGGGGGCACGCCCCCCCTTCCCCCGTTTCCCACGGCCATGTTCAGTATGCCAGGTACACAAGTAGACAACACTATAAGTTACATAATTTTGTCCATCAGTTTTTTATTTCGATGAAGGGATTGCCATTGTTACTAAAAACAAAAAATTCTATGAAATTCTTTTCCAATGGCAGTATATTATTAGTCCGATTTCAATATAACTGGGTACATACAATTTATAGCTAGAGCAAAACAAGATATACTGATAAACGCGTGATAAATGTCCCACAAGTAATAAATTAATCTAAGACTAAGTACTGTAAGAAAGAGACAATTTCATTTCTTAATAACGTATTTTTATGAAATAAAAAAAAACAAACAAGTACAGATGTATTCTTTATCAAAGTTCATTTTAATTATCATTTTAATATTATTTATCCTTTTAACATTCAGATGTATATGTAGTTTTCATTGTGACATCGTCATATAATCATAACAGTAACTAATAATGTATATTGGTCAAAGTATGTTTTTTTTCTAAATAACCAATTCTCAGGAAGCCCTATTCTCTACAGGCACGTACTGGCCTAGGCCTAGACTTTCGTCGACGTTTTTTTTTTTTTTGTTTTTCGTTTTTTTTTTTGAAAAAAAATACAAATTGTTAGTTCATAAATGAATCCTGTAGGTTAAAATAGCTATATTAATTAATGTAACTATTTTATTTAATTAAAGTTTTTGATATTTTTTGCATGACAATTATTATGTGTTATATTAAGGAGAGGAACTAGTAATGTAATAGGGTGATATTTTCAATATATTTATGATTAATAAATGATACTAAAGGTATATTGTGTGTCTTGTTGTTTTATGATTATTTCACTTGATCATCATCTACATCATCATCATTTTGTATATATTTAGTTGAAACACAATTGGATACACATTCCTGTATTGCCCTATTCTCCCTTGGTTCTTTTATTGTGCTATTCATTGATCATTAGTTGACTTCTTCAATTAATGACTTTTTGGTATTTAATGCCTATGGCTATTTTACCTATGTGGTCATTTTCAGACATGTGATACATGTCATGTGGTTTGAAGAACCAATAGATTTACTATATATATTTTCCCGCTTTTGGTGAACTGCCTTTGTTCATTAGAAAGTTAGATTCCTTAGAGGAAAGTTCTTATATAATTATGTAGTGACTGTATCTATGTGAAGTCTGCCATATTTGAATTATCCTGACTGACCTGAAAGATGTACTGACAGATAGTAAGTGCACTCTATATTTTATTATCTTGATTAATATCTGATTTAATATTTTCTGTAAATTATCTAATTTATGCATTTTCTATCTTTCATGAGTAAATTCAATTGATTTGATTATCAAGTTTATTTCTTTTACTTTTATCATTCGACCTTAGTAATTTATAAATATCAGTTATCAATTTCATTGATGGGATCTAAATATTGATTCTGAAGTTATATAGTTAAATTATTATTTACAGTTGATATGTAGTATACCCGAGACTTGATTCAGGCAGCTTATTGAGTTTAAGCCTTGTTCCATAAACAGGTGATTAATTGATAAGCATATGAAATATAATACTTTTATCATAGATAAATGTAATGTGAAATAGTTGCATTGAAATGTATATATTTATGGAGTAATATTGTATATGCATAATATTCATTATCAGAATTAATGTTTTTAATATATTTTTAATGCAGTCAAGGGAAATAACTTGTAAAGTACTTTAAACTTTAAGAAGATAGCAAGAGTTATCCTTCTTGTATTATATATATTCCCTTGCAAGTTTATTGTTGATTTTTTATCCTCAATATTGTTTATTCCTATTACAGGGCTTTAAACTATAACTACAACTATTATATTATCATTGAGTCCATCCATATCAACACTGAAGTATTTAATAATAAATGATGAACCCATAAGTGGTGTTATTCTTCACTAAAGGCCACTACTACATTTGGCGCCCAACGTTGGTTGTTGATGATGGACGATGCCTACACAAGATGAAGCTGATGAATGATGGTCTACATCTACCTTTCTCCTTGCGAGAGCTATAGTGAACAGTGTCAGTTTTGTGCTTGCTGACTTAATTTACCCTACATGCATTAGTGATCAACACTGTGAACTGTGACTTTATATTGTGACTTCTGTGTGCATTGACTCTGTGGTGATTCATTATTCCACCAGTGGTTGGTAAGACAATCTACCATACAACACTTGTTTACCTAACCAGTATATAGATAAGATTATTTATATCATCTGTTGTATATAAACATGTATTAGGAACAAGTATATTGAAAACAAAACATTTGTGCTCTGTCCTTATTGTACTGGTAACTGATATAGTTTCATATTGAAATTCTTTCAAAATTGCTCTTTTACTAACAACTTTGCACTGCACTGCATGCTTTATTATATTTGACAATTGTTGACTGGACTGAACAGATGTTGATAGAGCTGTGGTAGCTGTGGCAGATGTACATACTAGGTACAGGTAAGGTCCCACCCCATGCCCTTCTTAGTTACATGTACATGTACATATTATAAAGACACACATGTATATGATAGGTCATACATACACGCATGTACGTATGTTGATCAAGTGAAATATTGTAGGTGTTTGACAACAGTAAGGGTAGCTATAGATAACATGTCCGTCTGTCTGTCGTAGTTAATATTTGAAGTGAATATCAAAGTATACTGAATTTTTTGCATTGGGTACAGTAAAGATTGAGTATCTCCCTCACCTGCTCACTATATAGATAGTATATTTGAATAAGACTGCCATTATTTTATTATTTCATCTGCTCATTTTTCATTTTCATTTGATTCATTGTATTTAATTTTATTGTGTATATATATTCATTTTGTTGTCATTGCCTTTTGAACATTTTTCTATTGTTGTTTGTTTCTATTTTGTATACATAATGTAGACCAAATTACAGTGAACTAGAGTTATTGCCCTTTATTCAGAGTAATTTTGATATATTCATCAGTTACTTATTAAAGTTTCTTTAATTTTTTTTGACATCTCTTTTATTATTTTTTTTTTCTTTTTGAGTTACATAAATTGATTTTTCTTTCTATAAAATTACTTGAATTGAAATTATTTTATTTTGATTTTTTAAATTTAAATTTCATTGCTCTCAATTAGAATATTGTATTGATTGGTATTTAAACTAAGAGTGAATTCATTGGAAATTGATTAATTGGGATATGTGATTTATTTTGAAATTTTTGTTATGTAATTAAATTTTTTGGAAATTCCATTTATTTTTTATCTGTGACATTTATATTTATATTTTTTGTATAATTTGATAAAAATTTAAATTTTCAAAAGTTTCTCTGAAATTGCATTGTTTACATTGGTGATATTTATTTTTCTGTTCATTTGGCATATTATTCTACATTTCTATTTTTTTATTTTTTTTTCAAGCATATTTCATTTTGATTTTTTAAAAAATGTTAGTTTGACTTACTGGCAGGTATATTCAAAACAAACTTTCTATTATATTGTAGCATGTATATTGTATACGTAATGTGAATCAAAGTGACACAATCCATTTTGTGATGTGAAAAGTGAAATTTTGAAATAGTGAAATCAGTGAAATATATTGAATTCAATTCAAGTGATACATGTGAGTGAAATTTTGAAGTGAATCACTACATTGGAAATTCAAATTCATTCTAGGATTGTGTATTCTTGGAAAAATTCATCATGGCAGATATTACAGAAGAAGAAGCAAAGAACATTATCAGTTCTTTTAAAGCCTTGAAGTTGAAACCCAAGGCAGATACACCTCAGGATCTTCAAGCATGGCTACAAGGATTTGCTAGTGCTGAATCACCTACAGTACCTACAGTGAAAACTGAAATTCAGACTGACGTTATAAAGCACTACACAGGATTTCCCAAAATTTCAACATTCTCTGGTTCATCGAAATGTGAAACATCCTATGAACTATGGCGTTACGAAATCCAGTGCCTTGCTAAAGAGAAAGTATACAGAGAAGACCAAATCCTACAAGCAATTAGAAGATCAGTGAAGGGAGAAGCTGCTAATGTGATCATGAGACTGGGTCCTAGTGCAACCATTGACACTATTATACTCAAGATGAACTCTATTTATGATACCATTGAAAGCAGCCAAAAAATACTAGGAAAATTCTACAGTGCAGAACAAGAACCTAATGAGACTGTATCAGAGTGGGGTTGTCGGCTTGAAAACATCATCAATAAAGCAGTCCTCCGAGAAGAAGTAGAAGCAGAAAAAGTGGACGACATGTTGTGTCATGCTTTCTGGGAAGGACTTCGACCTGATTTGAAGGATGC